ACTTCCCCACTCCCATGCTTTCTCCAGCCCCTGCTGCTGCTGGTTCTCTTTCTCCCTCTAGTCTAGTAGCTTTCATTCTGCTTTTTAAGATAAAAAAGTATTATTTAAAAAAATATGTATAAGTGTGTGAGGTTGTATGTGGTATGTGCTTGTGTGGGGACAGGTGCCCAAGGAGGTAAAGGAATAGAATGTCCTGGATCTGGAGTTACAAATGGGTTTAAGAACCAGATGTGGGCCGGGCAGTGGTGGTGCACGCCTTTAGTCCCAGCACTCGGTAGGCAGAGGCAGTCGCATCTCTGTGAGTTGAGGCCAGCCTGGTTTACAGAGTGAGTGCCGGGACAGGCTCCAAAGCCACACAGAGAAACCCTGTCTGGAAAAAAAAAAAAGAACCACCTGATGTGGGCACTGAACTCTGATACTCTGGAAGAACAGCAAATGCTCTTCACTGATGAGACATTTCTTTAACCTGTCCACTCTTTTTCATGTCACATATCTCCTGTGTAGAGGAAATGGAAGGAGAATGCATCCATGGTGCAGAGGAGAGGTGGTGGAGGATGAGAGGAATGGAGGAGGGGAAAGTGTGGTTGGGATGTGCTGTATGAGAGAAAAATCTATTTTCAATTAAAAGCATGTAAACTTCATAGCTCCCTCATCCTGACTTCAACCCTCACTTAGAATCTTATTTTCTCTGTGCCTCAGAAGGAATTTGCAAGCAAATCTTGTTGTAACATCCAGTTACTAATGTGCTTTAATTAACGTTGTTTTGATAAATACTGAATCTTTGACCCACATATAGCTGTAATGAAGTTTTTTTTCTTTTTTTTGCTTCCCCTAGCCTATGTAACAGCCAGACAGTACAAAACACAATACAATAAGATAAGGTGGAAGTCCAAAGGGTGGTGGAGTGAATATGGTTAGAATTCTTCAATGTCCCAATGTAATTTGATTTATGAACTATCATACTGAGAAAAAATTCTATTGAATTTCATAGGTTCTAAATCAATAATAGTGTACTTCCTCACTAAGAAGATGGTAAATAGAAGTCAGGGATTGAATAAAATGAAGTGGGAAAAATCACATTTATTTAGCTATCCTTCAGTTGAACAATGGTTTCTATCCTTCAATTATAAATTCAGGTAATATAACACAGCAGTCCTGGCAGAGAATACCATACCAGGTCTAAGTATGCATGATCTTCTGGAAACATCTAATTTGAGTATTGTCTTCTCCTTTCCTACTCACAAAAGTTATTCACTGTATCTAGACTACACACAGGTGATTTGGACTGAATGCCGGCTTGTTTTCTATCTATCTGGAACTTCGATGCATGATAGATAGTGAACACCACTGTGGTCAGCCTCAGTAAACACCTCTAAATTCAGAATCTCTAATGACTTCACTAGACAAATTCATCACTTACAGATTGAGGCATTTTTATTGCCAAGGGAAGAGTTTGTTCTGTATGTTCTCAAATGGGCACATGAACTCTTGTGCATTCTGCCTCTCTTTCCCTGATAGGAGTCTGCAACATATTGTCACATCTCTGTAATAAATCTTAGATCTGAGTGCGAACCCATGTGGAATGCTGAAAAAGCATCCCGATGTGAAGGAAACTGTGGGGATAACCACACAGCAATGGCATTTCACAGAATGACCCTGTTTCTTTAAAAGCAGCTTCTGTGCCACTTGAGGACTGACAAGGGATGGGAGTAGTTGTGTGGGACAGCAGCAGAATTATTGCCTGTGGCCAGAGGGACAGTTTACTTATGAAATTAGCAAAAAAAAAAAAAATAGATCTATGCCCCAGAGAATTGGCTCTCATCATTTAGTATGTAAATGATTTAGTACATAAAGTATTAACTCCCCATAAAGTGTGGGGAAGAGGAAGCGCCTACAATCTGGATGATGGCTTTATTCTTTTTGTGTTTCCCTTTCTCTGTGCACAAGGAAAGAAAGGTTATAGAAAACATACTCTAGGTAGTTACTCGGCCTTTCTGCCGCTAGGGCTCCCCAGCCCTGCTTTCCATTGCAGCTTGGCTTTATCACTGTGACTAAACCCTGTAAATGGCAAATGGACCCACTATTTTCATTCACAGCTTTCTATTTCTGATATTGCATCTGAATGTTTGGTATAAAATGGCATATTCTTATAATTTTGCACAAGTTAGAAGTCCATTTCAATTAAAGAAAGCCACACAGAAAAATTATTATTATTATTGTTATTATTATTATTATTATTATTATTATTATTATTACATCATGGCAGTGTTATCCTTTAATATCTAGTATTCAACATCTAGGTATTAAGTGGTGACGAGTTATACCTTGGAAGAGCACAGAGCCGAGTCTACTGGAATACCTCACGCTTGATGATTTCATGTATCTGATTGCCACCAAATCCACATCATGTGGAAGTTTTTGAACTCAGGAAGTTCATATGCTTTACGGAGAAAGATCTAAGTATTCAATACCTTCATCAACTTTTAGCAGTCTTTGAAAAGGACAAAGGCAAAAATAAGTAACTTCTTATAGCCACTGTCTACTCACTACTCATATATGAACATTCTGCCTTTAAAAATTCCACTTACTGCCAGGTGGTGGTGGCACACACCTTGAATCCCAGCATTGGGAGTCAGAGGCAAGTGGCTCGCTGTGAGTTCGAGGCCAGCCTGGTCTCCAGAGTGAGTTCCAGGACAGGTTTCAAAGCTACAGAGAAACCCTATCTCAACTTGATGTGGCAGGCTTTGTTGACTACTCTTTTTGTCTGCCAGAAGGAAACTTACCATGCTGTCTTTGCAAGCTGTAATCTATATGAACTCTTGGGGACTGTACATTTTCCATGTGGTCCCTAATCATCATGTCATTCCCTCAGCCTTGGAAGATGCCCAGGTCAACTCCAACTTACTGACCACAGATGACAGGGATCAGGTGAAAAAAAATGATTCATAAAGAAACAAGGAAAGAGGCCATTGGTCACCTTAGAACTTTACATTTAAATTTATGAGATCTACTTCAGCTGCTAAGTCTGAGCCTCTTAAAGGGTGTGGGATCAATGTTACAGGTTGATCTCATACCACTGTGTAGTTCCACTGCTTAAAGTCATTCTGACTGGGTCAAAGGGGTAGAATACACAAAAAACAGTGACTGCAGTTAACGTAATTGCTGTTCATGGGCCTGTGTAAAAGTAGCTGACAACTGAGAACACTGATTTAGGAAACATTCTCACTCTTTTCCAACTCATAAGAGTGACTTGGTATCTAAATGATTTTGCAGAGTGATTCACATCGATCACTTTTCTTCTATATGTTTGGAATTTTGCTGTGTTCTAGTTAGATGAAGCCTATATAACTAGCCACAATAAAAAATAAAAATAACTCCCTTTCTGAATATTAACAGGTTTCTCAGGGAAGAAATAATGAGATGTTGCAGATATACTTATGAGTTTTCATTGCTGTGGGAAGAATATACCCTATGACACTTCCTGGGCAAAAGGAGGCCTTCTTGTGAATTATTCCACATTCTGCCTATGTTCCCTTCTCCTTATGACCAAGCTATATAGCCTTACTGTAATCATTTACTACTTCTGGGCCCAGAATATAACTATGTGCTGGGCTACACTTTTCTTATTACATTAGAAATATAGATGTGATAAAATTACAATTACACTGAACGTTGCTTTTAAACTAAGTCAGATAGTATAGCAGCTAGCAGTTTCTTTTTTAACATGTTGATAACAAACATGTATTATACCACATGTAAAATAATTTTATATTGAAATGTTAATATTGTTCTTGAAGATGATTCAGTTCCTTTGAAATCTTAAGTATTTCATTTGCTACATTGCTCTGTGGGCCTGACTCTGACAAGTTGCCAATAAGATTCAGCAGACTGCCAATGAGATCTTCACATAAAGATATTTAAGACTCCTCTTGGGGTAGACACAGGGGCATATACTTATAATCCCTATAATCTTGGTAGTATAAACAGGAATAATTCTGTGAATTGGAGACCAATCTGGGCTACATAATCAGTGGGACCCTATCTCAAATTTTAAAAAATACCCCTAGAAATGAATTATTATATTGGACTAGGTTAGCTGATGACTAATAGGCAATGTGTTTCTTCTAAGTGAATAGGACTATATACTTTCAGTTTTATCTCACCACAAGAGAGAAAAACTTCTATAGGTTGTATTTAAAGGGGCTGCAGTCATAATTACACATCAGGATTATGTAATTTCACAGTTACCTAAACAGTGTACCTAAAAGTTGTATATAATTAGGGTTTTATGGTCATGTTTAACTTTCTGAAACAATGATGCCCCCTGACAGAATTTGGGTTTGCTATGGAAATTTAATTCAAGTCCATAGTTGTGCACATAAAAATTTCAAATTCAAATTATGAAAACATTTTTTTTTCACTTTTCAGAACACAAATTGCCTTTTGGGTTTCAGGTAGGCACAAAGACAATTTTTATACAGTTACTGGATGTATAAATGAATCTAGACAAAATAACTTTTCATTAGCACTGACATACTTTAACATTAAATCTCATGAAGTTACTTATAAACATACCTTCATTTATCTTAGCTAGGTTAAAAACAATTGAAGATGTATACCCCAAGGAAACTCTTTCTAGTCAACTTAATGGTTAATACCTTAAACTTTATTAAAACTTACTATTATAAATTTTATTTGGCAGGGTCAGTGGAAAGAGAAGTTACATTTGTGAAATCGGCTTGTTAGCATAGTACCCAGATCTTAAAGGTATATAGAGGTATGTTATTTGTTAGCAAATGCTTTCCTTTACAAGGAACCAGTTTGAAGCAGGAAAGTTTTTACATTGTCTGTAACTAAAGTATTTCTTAAATTGAATACAAATATACTATGCATGTAAAAATACAAGGTGTTTGTTTTCACAATATTTAACACTCTTCTGCCTATACCTAACATTTTCTCCTTCTTCTACGGTAAAATGCACTTGAGTAGCCCACATTCCTTCACAACTTTGCACAGAGCATTTCCAGCATCATATCATCCATGCTGACTGCACCAATGATAGGTCTGAAAAAGAGTTCAGTGACGACATCAGTATTGATGAATCTCAGCAGGAAAAGGGCACTATTCAGTTCAGCAGATCTGATCTGGTACTCTCTCTGCATCACCCTGATGTGCTCAGTGAGGATCTGTTGAGTTCTCCACTGAAGGCCCTGGATGTATTTCACACACTGCAGGCCGGGCAGGTCTGGAAGTAGAAAAATATCTTTATTTTAAACAGCTCACCACAAACATCTTTATGTTCTTAGACCACATTAAGTTTTTGTCCTTTTCCAATTCAAAAGTGCTCAAGCTTCTTGGTTAAGAGGGTTTTCTGGGGGCAAGAGTAACATACTAAAAACAGTCCTAAGTTTTCAGAAGCAACACTTTTCAGAATGAAAGAACATGCACTCATTTCTATTGATTATTCAGTAGGTTTGTGCACACACATTTGGAAAACACTGGCGGTGAGCCAACAAAAGCACACTTAGAATAGAATTGAATGTATCACAACTCCAGTTCATGTTCTGTGAAATGATAAAGAAACTTATATACTTATGAGAATATCAATACCAGTTGATAATGATAAGAAGTTTTGCCAGAATAAAAAAAATTGCTGTTCTTTCCAACAGTTAAACTGACAGTCTAGTCATTAGATTGTAAACTTCACAGCCATAAACTGTAACTCGTCTGTTTTTCACATTATTGGACTTCAAGCTGATATTACTCTAGAGGTCATAATGAGTTAAATGCTAAGGATTAATATTTTACTCACTAACCATGATTTCCAAATTGGAAAAAGGTTTTAAAAATCAGAGTCTAATGAATGTTCCAAAGATAATACTGACAGAAGTCTTTTGTTTTTTTCAAAAAGCATTTTAGTGATATTAAAAGGTTAACGATAAACAAAAACATCACAGAGTGTAACATGATTCAAAAGCAACTTCAAAACAGATTTGGTTTAAATGATGATATAACTTTCCTTCCTTTTTCTACAAAATTCAACACATGATTATTTTAAAGGCATCATGCTTTAAAAATAATAATCTTGATAGAAAAGAAACATTCCTATTATAGGCAAATAATAAATCATAAAAAGCAACACAATATGGAAACATTTCTTATCTAGATTATAATTCAGATTACAACAGCCCATGTAGTAACATCCTGCATTCTATTTCTATCCTGATACCAAAGGTTTGATCCCACTGAGAAAGTTTCTCTAGGTCTACACAGACTTGTGGTTTGCCAAAGCTTCATTTTGTGAAGGCACCCATTACATTTCACAACACAGTCCCTGGCCCTCTCCTTAAAGTAACTATTTTTTTCTTTGCAATAAAAATTCTTTTTTATGATACAAACTAAGAGGTTTACTTATGGCTATCTCATTCACACTGTTTTGTTTGGTCCTCCTTTCCAACTCCTCACATCTTCCTGTCCCACTCCCCCCCTACTTTTACCTCTCCACCCCCACAAAACTTCTCTTCAATGTAAAGACAGAAAAAAAGGCAGATGGACTCCACAGTTTACATATCTCCTTATCCTTTACTTATCTCCTTATGTTAAAACCCATTTGTATATCTATATCCAATATAAACGTTGTGTATCTTTGTTATATATAAACATAAAGACAAGGGGATGCAGAAAGGTAATCAGGAAAGAGAGGCCACACATTTTACAGATGTTACATTGTGCACAAATGTGGTTGCATTACTATTTAAAAACACACTTTGGCAAGATAAATTCCCATTGAGAGAGAACTAAAAAAATAGAGGAAGAATGGGAAGAATGAGGGAGGAGATAGAGAGGGTGGGGGAGAGGGAGGGAGAGGGACGGAGAGAGAAAGAGGGAGGGAATGAGGTGTGTGTACATGTGTGTGTGTGTGTGTGTGTGTGTGTGTGTGTGTGTGTGTGTGTTAAGGGAGGCAAAGGATGTGAAACAGGGTCAAGGCAATTGGGAAACTACTGGAAATAGCGACTTCTGAAAGCTGAGACCTTGGTCTCCACTTTGAATCTCAATAGTGCAGGAATAACAATTGGCTGAAAGAATGAGAAAACTGTCAGATGGCCTCAAGAATCACCTGAGCCACTTGTATTTGCAGACTTGCAGAATCTGGACTGGGCTGAACTATTACCTTCAGAGGGGAGGAGCTTGGGAAGACAAATCACCCTGCACCCAACACAAGCTCTTCTTAAAGGGAAATTTGGAAAACAGTAACTTAAGAAGAACTTGTGTGAAAAGAGCAAAAACTTTGTTTTTAAGTTATGCTCTTGGACCTCAGAGACGGCTAAACAAGGAAGAGAGAGCCATGTCCCACGAAGATAATAAAAGTAGAGCTCCAAGTAAAAGGCTTTCTCCTCACCCACCCCATCCAGTACCGAGTTTCTGGCAGAAACTCACCCACTTTGGGATGTGTTCATCATTAGCTTTGCAGAGTCTGTCACGAGGCTTCACGTGGGCTCCAACACACCTACAGCCACTGAAAACTCCTAAGTGCCTGTGTGTAGGGGTGTTGCTTTTGTGACCTAGAGAGGTAATGGAAAAGGCTGCCATGCTTACCTGGGTTAAAGAGCACGGCCCCCTTCAGATAGGCATATTCCTTGGTATCGATGTTCAGACTCCAGCAGCTCTTTATGGCTTGGGGGGGGGCGGCCGAGGGCAGGTGTCCAGCCTCCGCAGTGGACACCATCTGTGGCTGCTCTTTGGCCAGGGGATCTGCGGGCTCAGCACCCTGGGTCTCCTGCTGCCTGGTGGTGAGCGTCTTCTGCAGTACGCTAGGTTCGGAGATCTCCATCATTTCGATGTGCAGGTGATCCTGGGCCAGCTCAAGCATGAGTAGGGGCGCCCAACAGCTCCGCACCAGCACCAGCTGCTGATCCAGGGGCAGTATCTGGAAACAGGGCAAGTACTTGACAAAGCGCAGTGTCTTCAGCAGGCCAGCCGATGCTGCCTCGCACACCACCTGTGGATTCTTGAGAGTCAACGGACGCTGCACTCCAGAAGAGGCGTCCCACCAGAGGGCCCTAGGCTGCTCTTCCGGAGCCCGGGGCAGTTGATCTGAGCTCCCGGGTGTGCCACAGGCTAAGCTGCTCTGCTGGGGCTGCTCTTCACCGCACACGTAGCTGCGGTACAGGAACGCCATGGCCTGTGCGCTCTGCAGCCCCTCTGGGTCATCCATACTCTCCGTACAGTAAGACAGCTGCCACCATTCGCCTCCGCGACGTGCCTCGGACGCTTCCGGAGACACGTGCGTCTGCTTGGCGCTAGTGAGCAAGCTGTACAAGATGCTGCCCTGCTTCGGGTGCTCTTCTCCGCAGAAGCAACAGCGGTACAGGAGCGAGGCTGCCCGCCTGGCCGGTGTCCCCTCTCTACTCACCAGGGGTTCGGGGCTGCCGCAGGCACAGCCCCAGCACGGGGCTCCGAATCGCGCCCTGGACGCCTGGGTCCCTGAGCCTGACTGCTTGGCGCTAGTGAGCATAGAGTAGAGGATGCTGCCCTGGCGCGGGTGGTTCTCCCCGCAAAGGCAGCAGCGGTACAGGAGGGACGAGGTTTGCCCTCCGGGCAGTCCCTCCTCGTCCCCGATGGACTGAGCACCGCAGGCACAACCCCAGCACTGAACCCCCAAGCGCACCTTGGGCTCTACTGGAGCAGCCGCGTGCTTCTGCTTCGCGCTCATCAGTAAATTGTAGAGGATGCTGCCCTGCAACGGGTGGCCCCCCCCCGCCATGGCCCGAGGCTCCTACAGCCCGTTCTGCCCAGTGGCTGCCGCCTGGGACTTATTTATACTGAGCGCGCACGCAAGCGCGTCCGCCTCCTCCGCCAGGACAAGGGCGCAGAGGGGGACGCGCCATTGCGCTTGAATGTGCGCGCTCATGACCTCGGAAGTTCAAAGGGGCAAAGAATCCTTAGAAACTGGAAATCCAAGGGGAACTTCTCAGCGCTGGAGATCGTGGACCCTCTCTTCCTTCCTCATTTTATCCCTCCTTCCCCTACCTGGGAAAGAGGAGAGTAGCGAACCTGGGGAAGCAAGTTAGGGCTCTGTTCCAACTCTTGCTATTGGACTCCGATGTCTAATTTATTCCCTTTATCGGAGGAAGAAGTACTTAAAAGAGAAAATATTCCATTTCTATGGAATCTTTGTAAACTTTTATGGAACGATTACAATTTGTATAACTTGCATTTTGTATAATGTTTGGAGAGTGAGATCTCATTTTAAGACCTTGAAAAGTGTAAACCCATACTAGTAGCTTCAGCATCGCACCAACAGTCTGAAACACCTTCCCTTCAGCTCCAGCCAAACTGCCTGAGTGTGAGTTTCAATGAAATCCATCTCCTGGCTATACATATGCACCCTAAAATTGAAAATCATTGGTGGAAGCAGGCAATAATGCTCAGTTTAATTCAATCAACCACCCACTGTGCCCGGGATGCTTGGATCAAGGAGCTGGGGGGCTGCAAACGTTATGTACTTGTAGCTGAATCTTGGGAACACAATAATCACAAGATTGTTACTGTGAGAACCTTTCATGCTTTTGAGAAGCAGAAAGCTGATAACTGTTCCTGTTCCCAACCATCCTAAGATACTATTGACAAATAGAAGAAAGCCTGAATGCTGGCATTTGTCACGGAGCCTCCTTTCACGTCAGACAGACATGAGACCAGGGGCCTCTTTCTAGTCAACCATGCGACTTGTGTCTTAACTTGATAATTCTTACACCCATTAGCTCCCTCACTTTAAGAGCGCAAGCCTTACTGGTCAGGAGAGGGGATTAGAGCACACCAGTTGGTACGGGACCTCTCTCTCTTCCATTCTCCCTCTTGGTTTTCTGTTCCCCCCCACACACACTCCCCTTTCAGTTATGTAGGGTCACTGAAATGTAAGAAAATCGAAGACACCTTCAATTTCCCCCTTTTCTTTTTGACAACTTCATACATGTACAGAATTTACTGTGATTATATTCATCCCTATTAGCATCTCTGAGTCACATTCTCCTGCTTATTTCACTTGCCCATTCTTCATCCCAACTAGTGTCTGTCCCTCTTACTTCCTTGTTTTTATTATTTATTTATTTATTCATTCATTCATTTTTGTTTAATGCCTATCTTGTATACAGGTAGCCATAGCTTTTATGTTGCCAAGTGTGCAATGGTTATGCAATGTCCAGAAGAAAGAGTTTGGTAACATTCTTTTCTTACAGTCTTTTTGCCATATATTATATAATGTACCCTGTGTCTTGGAGGCATGATACAGATATCCCATTTAGGATACAGTACTCAACAGTTAATTTGGTATTTGCCTGTGATAGGCCCTATGGCACAGAGGTTTAATTCCTTGCCCTGGCACCTGATGAACTCCATTTAAATCCTGGTTCTGTTATTTTGTAATTCCATGGCCTTGAGGAACATATTTCTTATTATTGCTGTAAAAATTACCACAGTTGTGGTGGTCTATAGCAATACAAATAACACAAATTTATTATATGACAGTTTGAGAAGCCAGAAATCTGAAGTCAGTTTTAGTAGAGTAAAATTACAGCATTATTCATTTCTGGCAGTTCTAAGGAAGAATCTATTTCCTTGCTTCCTCAAGCTTCTAGAAACTACCTGCATTCACTGGCTCTTGCTTGCTCCTGGACACATCAGTCCCTCTTCTGTCTCCATCTCCTTCTCTGATGTTTTATGGAAGTTTGTGATTTTGTTAATTCCACCTAGATAGTCCAGAAGGACCTTGCCATCTCAAAATCCCAAAACCTAATTACATCTGCAAAACTTCTTTTGCTCCATAAACAAATTCACACTTTCTTATGACTAGGACCTGCACATCTGTGAGGACACATTATTCAACCTACCATAGGAAAATTCCTTAATGTATCTATTCTTAAGCTTCTTTATCTGTAAAAAGTGGACAGTGGTATCTGGGATATAGTTTTTATATGTGAATTAGTTTGTTTAGAATAGTTAAAAAATATTAAAAAACGGTAAGTTTTATTTTTAGGACAACAGGGAATACAGTAAGGATCAAGAAGTAAATCTGCAAAACACTATCAGAATGCTGTCTCTTGCTGAAGCTCATTCTCATTCTCTATTCACACATTTGTCTTGCTTACTCTGCAAGTCCACATTTCCAGATTCAAAACGCTTGTGCTTGTGGGTCACGTGTTCTATAAGAATCCATATTGACAGTGATTGTCCATTCCATTATCATTTTGAATAGTCAAGTTACTGTATCAATTAGGCTTGCTATTGCTGCTTAATGATCTTTATTTCTTAACCTCCAAGCAACCTAACTGAAAAACAGGCTACCTAAGTCTCCCACCTTAAGGTTATAGTGCTAGTTATAATATTATTTTCTTCTTAGCACCTGATGATTTTACTTAGTTAAACTGTACTTATCAATCGTCTCCCCCAATCCATTTCAAAGTTGCTTACATGCAAGGAATCAGTCATTCCGTACCTACCAATTGGTTCAATGTTTTAGATCCTCGAGAATGTACTTATTGGGCAACTGTAATTTTGAAAGAAAGGGCATCACAATCTGACAGCACAGAGGCCAGCTATTCCTACACAATCAGCTGCTGACTCTTTGAGGGTGGTATCAGGCTTTGTTAGATTCAGAGCTCCTAGTACAAATGTTGTTACAATCCCTACAGCAAACAACAAGAGATCTAGGTTAACAGTTAAGAAATAGGGCTCCTCTGTTGTAAACATATAATGGGCTCTCAAAGTGTTCTTTGATTATTATTATTAATAGATATAGATTATACAGAGCCATGTCCTTGTCGTGACAATTCTATTGATGCATTTGTCATATTTTGTCAGGTCCACTTCCCATATTCCACTCCTTAGCCATCATCTCCTTTCAATTTCATATAAGAAAGAAAATGTGGCAACCATCATGTTTATTCTGTCTGACAAGATGATTTCACTTCCACTCCTTTTCTCCTGCAAAGAATATGATTTCATTTTTCTTTATGGCTGAATAAACTACAACATGCCTGTGTGCTACACTGCCTTTAGTTATTCATCCAGTGATGGACACTGATATCATAACTTAGATATTATGACTAGTACCTTGGTAAGCATGGGAGTATATTTATCTCCATTGCACATCGACCTTGATTCCCTTGGGGTCTACACCTAGTAGTAGCATAGCTAATTTATTCAGAAATTTGATTTTTAGGGTTTTATTTTGAAGAACCTCCATACTGAATCCCATAGTGGTTAGATTAATTGACACTACTACCAACCCTTATAAGTTAAGTTTTCCCTGCAACTTTGCTGGTATTTGTTGTTTTCTTTCATCATAATAAACATTATTACTGGGTAAAATACAGTTTCAGGGTAGTTGTAACTTGCATTCCCCTCATATCTAAGGATACTGAGCTTTTTACTCATATACTTATTGTACTTCTTTTGAAAACTGTCAGTTTAAATCATTTGTTTTTGTTCATTATTTAATTGGATTATTTGGAGCTTGGGTATGTAAAATTTTTAGTTCTTTATGTAGCTTAGATATTGATCCTTTGTCAAGTATATAATTCAATTCAGTGTATCACCCTAGGTTAGCTTTATCTGTTGTGAAATGTGGACAAATTTCTATAAATCAATATTAATATGTACTTCTGTGAAGCCTTTAAAGGATTTTATATCTTCCCCTCAATACGATGATTTATAGAAATGTTTGCCTCCCTTTTGTTAAGTACAAATAGAAATATAGTAACTTAAGTGTATAATCATTTATTCTGCCATTTAGTAGAGTATCACCTTAAATACAGCATTGCAAAGTACATTTTGTCTGTTTGTTTATTTTGTTCTGACACAGGATCTGATGTATCTCAGGCTGGCCTCAAACTGTTGTGTAGTCAAGGATGACCTTGAACTTTGATTCTCCTGCCTCTGCCTTTTGAATATTTGTATTACAGGCATGCATGACTACAATAGGCTTAAGCAAGGCAGGGGACTGATCCCAGGGCCTCTGGAATGCTAAGCAATCTCTCTAACAATTATATTACATCACTGGCTGTGGACTAATTTTAATATGTGCACCTTAACTAATAATGCCTTTAAGAATTCCCTTAAAAATCTTTTATCTAGTATGTTTTTCAATATCCTAGAAACTTAAATCCATTTTGTTTTACTTCAATCATTCATAGCCCTCACGTATTTAGTGTCTTTGAATCTGGATTTTAGGTTAGCGTCTATGACTGGAACTTAAGTACAGTGCTGAAAGACACATGGATTTGTAATGTGCTAGTTGTTTCTCTTCTTTCCCAGTAGCTAAGTGTTCTAATTTTTTTCATTTCCCTTGAAGTTGTGATCTGATCTTCTATTTGCAACTCTGAAGGACTCTCTGAGCTCTTTGGATTGACTGTTTCTAAAGAGAGATTGCCTGTTTGTCCTTCAGAAGTATTCATCCTTGGAAATGTCAGGAGAAAACCGACTTCATATTTCCACTCTACAATTTTTTTACTGAACAAATGGCCCCTGGGAAGCAAAATCATCCAAATCCACCAATGTGTTTTGCTGGCCTGCTGGGCTCTACAGGGTTAGCAAAGATATAATCTAAGGCAGTCACAGCCTTTCTCATTTGATTTGTTCCATAGTCTCAGACCACTCTGATAGTAAGACAAAGGGACACTTATCAAATTAACCTGTCATGTGCTGAGTCTGTCCCTAACTGCGATTCAGATATTAACACTGACTCATTGTGTGATGACCTTGGCCAGT